ACTGCGCCATGCAGCCCCACACCCGTGCCAGCGACAAGTCGGGCTTCTTCCCGGTGAGCAACTGGTACGGCGTCGTCCCCGGCGGCAGCGACGAGCGCTCCAGGCAGTTTCGTACCCAGACAGCCTGTCGCAGGGCGAGGTGCCACCAGTGGTGCTGCACGCACATGTGCAATAGCATCGCCCGCACCGACTCCACCACAGTCCTAATCTCCTGCTCTGCCATGCCGTTCTGCTGCGGGGTGTATGGGCAGGTCAGGTCGTGGACGATCCCCTTGCCGTCCACGAAGGCGGTGAACTCTTTCCCGAGGAACTCCTCTCCTCGAACAGAGCGCAGCATCAGCACCAACTTCTTGGTCTGCCGCTCCGCCACAACCGGCCACTTTTCAACCAACCACTTCTTGGCGACCGGCCTCACCCACACGTAGCGGGTCTTGCGGTCCTTCAGCAGCAGGAAGTACAGGCTGCCATCCTTGGCAGCTACCCGGAACGGCAAGCACAGGTCGATGTGCACGACGGCCAGGGCGTCCTCGGCGTCGGAGCCCTGGTCGGGGAAGGTGTGCTGCGCCAGCTTCCCCCCAACGCACGAGACATATGGTGAGTCCGCACCGGCCGACGGCTAGGTGTCCAGGCCGATGGAGACCCCGTGCTTCGCCGAGCTCCTGATGGTGTCCATGCCGACGTGCGCAAGCCTCGCGTGCCACCTGCCCGACGTCGACTTGGTCGCTGAGACAATCGCCCGCAGTGCCACCACCTCCGTTGTGTTAGGCTTCCGCTCCCCCGAGAAAGGTCGAAGGTCGGTGCAGAGGACCCGGCCGGTGTACATCGCCCGACCAAGCACGTCCCCCGCCGCCGAGACGAGCAGCATCCCGTCACCATCGTCCCGTCACGCCGTTCCCCCTCAGCTGACTGGCAGAGAGCAGGTTCGCCTGCATGCCCGGAACATAGAGCACGTCGGGAATGAGCACCTGCTTCCTGACCTCCCCCTGCAAGGCAACCGTGCCCCTGACCTTGACGTCCTGCAGTGCCCCATTGAAGCCGCGCACGTGCTTGACGTCGCCGCTCGGCTGCAGGTCGACGAAGGCGTCCTTCGTCCCCATCAGGTGGTGCGAGCAGCCACTGTCGAGCAGGACCACCGCCGGGTTTGCCTGCACAGCTGCCGCCACTGCCTGGAAGTCCTCGCCAGCCTCCGGCGCCAGCGAGACGGTCGGCTCCACGACGCCGACCGCGAGCACGACACCTCCTTGTCCTCTCGCCCTTTGCCGCCAGAGGAGGAGTCAGCATCTTTCGCCGAGATCGACTTGTTCGATTGCTTCTCCTTGCGCGACTTGCTTCCTCGATGTGGACGACGGCTGGCCGATCTTCCGCGACCTCCCTTAGCATCGTCGTCGTCGGGATCACTCCGGTCGGGGCACTCAAAGGAGAGGTGATTGGGGCTGTGGCAAATCCAGCACTCTTGACGCCGACCTCCTCTTCCACGGCCGCCATCCTTCTTCTTATCGGCGTCCTTTGCCGGCTTCCCGCCACTGCTCCCACTGCCGCCAGACTACCCGCGCTGCCCCATGCGACCACCTTGCTTCGCCGAGGCGGCGTAGTTTGCCTGTGGTAAGAGCTGCGAGGATCGCTCGGCTTCCTGCATCGCCTCGTCCCGCAGGATGTACAAGGTCAGGGAGTCCTCGTTGAGTGTCTCCCGCGTGCTTGGCACTACCGACAGTCGCTTCAGCAGGTGGTAGCTGCTCGAAAGCCTTGTGCGTGACGTACGACGCTGTCGAGAACGCACACTGGCCATCCTCATAGTGGCGAGAGGTCGCCGAGCCCGGTTGCAGTAGCCCGTCGCCGCCTCTTGCTCGCCCATCCGCAGGTGCGTCATCTGCTCCTCGAGCTGGCCGATGTACAGGTCGTCGGTGACCTGGTACGTCGACTCAATGAAGTGCCATGCCTGGTGGCCGGCGTCCAGATAGTCCCTGCACGGCTTCAAGATGATCTGTACGCCCAGCGAGCAGCACTGCAAGATGACCGTAAAGGTCAACAGCTGCAAGCCGGGAAACTCAGCACGCAACTCAGGGTTGTTCTCCGGCGGCGTCGCCACGGTGCTGGTAGCGAAGCACATTAGCCCGGCCATCTCCAGCTGGGGCTCGATGGCTTCCTTCCAGGTGAGGATGTCGGACCGACCAGCAAGGGGCTGACAAAAATCCTGTCCGGCATAAATTTGAAGCAGCCATAGCTCGGCGCTATCTCGCGTGCCGTCACGTGGGTCGTCGAAACCGGCGTCAAACTGCTCCGACGTGGGTCGCCCTGTGAGAGCCTGCATGAAGACTGCATTCCTCGCGCCTGAACGCCGCCGGCTTTCCCGGCGTGTATCACTCCTCTCTGCCTCGACGACGTGCCTCCCGCACTGCTGCCGACTTGGTCACGCGTTGACCGCCACGTCGACGCCGCCCTCGGTGGTCACTGGTCGAGGAGGGGCCGGTCGAGAAGGGTGCTCCGCCGCCCACACAGCGCGAATGCCAGCCTCGACGACCGCCCAGGGGATTTCCCCGTACTCGCGCGCCTCATGGCGTCTCCTCGCATCCTCCAGCTGTGCCTCCAGGGTGTCCATCACCTCGGCGTCACCTACGCCCACAAGAGTGACTACACAGCTGTCGGCCTGCAAACAACGTAGATAAATGCGAAGTCCGCTAGATCGAAGGTATCGTTGCGAGGCCGTCCACGCTCACCGCACCATGCGGAGATAACTCTATCAACGGGAGCTAGACCACGGGCTAGGCACGGGGTAGAGGTAATCTCTGCGTTCGTTCCTTAGTCGTTTCCTTGTGCGCACACTGCTTGCTAGTTCACGGGGAAAATTGGCAAGAGTTTCACTAGGAAAGTTGACAACAATAATGATACAGAATGATAACAACAACATTGGCAATATTGACTGCATCAAAGCTAGCACAACTGCTGGTCGACTGCCAGCGCAGCACGGTCGACCGCGTTCCAGCACGACTTGGTCGACCGCGCTCCATTAGTGCATAGATGCGGCTCGCCAATGTTGCAAGTCCACAGTGTGCCAACGCAGCAGCAAGTCGGCTGTACAGTGTTGCATCCGCGGGACAACGGTACACTTGCTTCGCAGGTGCGCGCAGCTGGTTGGTGCACCATGCCTTGTCACCTGCACAGCGCGGATGCCCAAGCCGAGGATACGCCAGCGACTGCGCCCACCAGCCACGTCGACCTCGGGATACCACCCCCGAGGTTGGTCTCGCAGAAGCTACCCCGGCGACCTTCGCACGCCTCCGCAAAAGCTCCGTCGCACGGGGAACCTGGTCGACCGGGCAACCATCTCGTCGACCAACTCCTCCCCGTGCCCGTCGACCACCCAGGTCGACGACCACCTTTAGTCGACCACACCATGTCGACTACATCCCTGGTCGACCAGCTCCAGGTCGACCACTGTCCTGGTCGACCAGTCCCAATTCGACCAGCGCAGCTGTCAGCCGACCACCGACGTCGGCTCCTCTAGGTCGGCGTCACCAAGTTGACGCCCGCCACAGGTCGACCGCCCAAGTCGACCTCCCGAATTCGGCGCCCTCCCGAAGTCGCACCCTCGCAATGGCCCCCGTGCAGGTCGGCCAGCCCCGTCGCTTCTTCATCTCGGTCTACGTTGACGACATGATCCTTCTTGCCGATTCCAAAACTGACATGGACCAGGTGAGCGGACACTCTAGGAGCGTCTCAAGTGCAAGGACCTTGGTCCGCTGCAAAGCTACCTTGGCATGGCCATCACCCGTAATCGACCTGCCCGCGCCATCACCCTCTCCCAGTCTCACTACATCGGCCAAGTGTTGGAGAAATTTGAGATGGCACAGGTCAAACCGGTTTCCACCACCCTCCCCTTCGGTCACCAGCTGGCGCCGCCCACCGCTCCCTCCTCCTCTCGACCCTATGCCGAGCTCGTTGGGTCACTAATGTACGCCATGATGTGCACCCGTCCTGAGTGGTGCCCGCCCTCTAGAGAGTGGCGCCCGCCCTCTAGAGAGTGGCGCCCACCCCCGCCCTCTAGAGAGTGGCGCCCACCCCCGCCCTCTAGAGTATGGCGCCCGCCCTCTAGAGAGTGGCGCCCGCCCTCTAGAGAGTGGCGCCCGCCCTCTAGAGAGTGGCGCCCGCCCTCTAGAGAGTGGCGCTCGCCCTCTAGAGAGTGGCGCCCGCCCTCTGGAGAGTGGCGCTCGCCCTCTAGAGAGTGGCCCCGCCCTCTAGAGAGTGGCGCCCGCCCTCTAGAGAGTGGCGCCTGCCCCACCCCATCAGTGTCCTCGCTCGGTTCGTAGGCACAGCCGCCACACTGAAGAACACTGGACCGCCACCAAACGGGTTCTCCGCTACCTTCGCGGCACCAAGGATCATGCCCTCACACTCGGTGGTTTCTCCCCTCCACTTCTAACTAGCTTCAGCGACTCCTCTTGGGCGGACTCCCAGCCAGACCGTCTCTCCTCGCAAGGTTATGGCTTCACGCCTGGCAGCGGACTTATCAGCTGGCGTTCTACACGCTCCTCTGCCATTTCCCTCTCCTCGTGTGAAGCCGAACTTTATGCTGGCACCATGGCTGCTCAGGAATCCCGCTGGCTTTGCTTTCTTCTTGCCAAGCTTGGTGCCCCCCAGCGCTGTCCCACGCTCTGGTGTGACAACGCCAGCACCATCCATCTCACCCAGGACCTCGTCTTCCACGGCCGTTCCAAACACATTGAACTCCGCTACTTCTTCATCCGTGAGCTTGTCCAACAGGGCCTCATTCCCGTTCGCAAGATCGCTGCAGAAGCGAACTTGGCTGATATCTTTTCTAAAGCCCTTCTTCGCCCTGCGCACTCTGCTCTTCTCCGCCTCATCGGCCTCGCTCCCCCCGGCGTGCCATAATTCAGGGGTTGCTTCCCTCAAGCCATTCCGCATCTATAGAGGTTAAGGGGTTGTGTTAGAATCCCTCTCCGATTGTAATCTGCACGATACCAAGGGGTGCAGCACTTAGCTACCTTGTTCTGCTGCAGGAACTGGTCCAGTGTGAGGGCGAATATGGGATGCACATCGGAGCACCACACGTTGCTCTGCCGCACCGTGTACACCCCCCCTGCATCCCCTGCACCACACCGCCTCACACATTCAAAACCCAGCACGACCATGTCAGTGAAAGCATGATTGGAGCACGAGGTGCGAGCAGACCAAGAAGCATGCAAGAAAAGACATAGCATGGGCCATTTTGAGTTGGGCAGGCGCAGGTGTTACCTACAAGGGTTGGTTACAAGAAGTTGATTGTTACCAGAAGGTTGCAAATGCCCGGAGCACAGGATGAGGGAGCAGATAGCAGCAGAGGGATGTTACCGGGAGCACAGGAGGCGGTGTTGGCGAGGGTCATGCCCTGGATGAACCCCGGGGGACACACACAGGAGTAGCTGCCCTTGCCATCGTTCACACACGTGCCCACCACACACGGGTTGCGACTGCTGGACCCACACACGTCCACTGGTGGCGAGGTCAGAAGAATGGGGTTGGCATCAAATTATGCTTGAGCATGGGGATGTGGATGGGGAGGGCATGCTGTGGGCGTGGAAGGAGGTGAATGGAGCAAGCATCAAAGGGTGTGGGTGCACGCACGGGCATGAGCGGACATTGCACATGTGCAGTGCAGGTATAGAAGAACCCAAGTTTAGAAAGCGGGGATGTGCCTTTCAGTATAGAAGAACTCAACAGAACTGAATGCTCTGTCAAGAAAAACTTCATTTGATGCACGTGTTAAAAACTTCCAAAATCACACAATGCAAAATCAGCACTGACCCTTCCCGGTGTATGTTACCATAGGCACAGGTGTACGACCCATCGGTGTTCTTGACTTGAGCAAAGCGGGTGTCAGTGCACTTGCAGCGATTGCTGGTGCCCTTCTCGCTGCACTCGAACCGCCCACACGGGTTGAAAACGGGGCCTTGAATGCTGTACTGGAAGGAGCGTGACCCACACGGATCAGCACTGCCTGCTCAATACCTCAGGTGGGAAGGGGGTGTGGGCACAAGGCTAATGTGCTACGGTACAGACGGAGGGTGAATTCACCAGCTGTCAGCAGAGAGATGCAAAAATCGACAGGTAGAACTATCCGCCTCACTTCTGACGACGGGGAAGAGGCCCGGGAGAGTGTTGATGCCGCAGATGCCATCTCCACTGCGAATGTCCATGCGCATGTGGCCCTGGTCGCCCCAGCCTGTGCCCCATGAGTTGCGGATGATCCAGAAGGGCGGCGGCACGGCGGATTTGGAGGGGTCGAAGCCAGCAGAGAGGTAGCCCACCACCAGCACCACGTGGTTCAGGTGGTTGCTGAAACACTCCTCGTCCGCGTACTTGCCTCTCTGCCCGCGTACACACCGTACATGTGGAGAGAGGACACACAACAGAAAAACATCTTGTGTAAAACATGTGCAAATAGATACTACGAAACATTTAAGTTGAACCGGTCTCTCAGTTGAACAGATCTGTGCACAACAATCCTTGTGCACCTTGCCCAAGACCGGGTGTGCAAAGGACCAATGGCTTTGTATATATGGGGTTGGTTTCAGTGTCCTGGCATTCCTCGGCTTGCACGTGGAATCCTTTCATTAATCTTACAGGATTGCATTTTCTTGTCGTATTTCTTAATTGATATCAGTTTGCGTTAAGGTGCCTTACCCCATTGTAGTCCTAAAAGGAGGGTGCCTTACCCCATCGTAGTCTTGGAAGGAGGGTGCCGGTGCCTTACCCCATCGTAGTCTTGGAAGGAGGGTGCCTTACCCCATCGTAGTCTTGGAAGGAGGGTGCCTTACCCCATCGTAGTCTTGGAAGGAGGGTGCCTTACCCCATCGTAGTCTTGGAAGGAGGGTGCCTTACCCCATCGTAGTCTTGGAAGGAGGGTGCCTTACCCCATCGTAGTCTTGGAAGGAGGGTGCCTTACCCCATCGTAGTCTTGGAAGGAGGGTGCCTTACCCCATCGTAGTCTTGGAAGGAGGGTGCCTTACCCCATCGTAGTCTTGGAAGGAGGGTGCCTTACCCCATCGTAGTCTTGGAAGGAGGGTGCCTTACCCCATCGTAGTCTTGGAAGGAGGGTGCCTTACCCCATCGTAGTCTTGGAAGGAGGGTGCCTTACCCCATCGTAGTCTTGGAAGGAGGGTGCGGACGCCTCGATGTGCACAATGACAGGCTGGTGCTGCACTGCCAGCATGAGCCCAAGCCACCCGTAGAACCCCGTGTGCTCGATGCCGCGGATTCCATAGTACTTGGGGGTGCTAACCTGAAGGCAGGGAAGATGAATATGGAGAGAGACATAGAGTGCAGACAGAACAACATTCATAGAAACAGTGTCACAACCCCCCACCAACAGCAGATACAAGCAACAATGCCCAAACATAAATAATTAATACATGCAGCAACTCACCAACGATCTTCCTTCAAGAGCCAGCCCTTGAGAGTACGCAGCCTCCTCCAGCAAGCCCTTGCCCTGCGCGGTGGCGTTGAGGAGGAACTGCAGCGCCTTGGTGGGCGAGCCACCGTCGCAGTTGGAGGAGAGGGCGAGGCGCAGATGCTCCACCGACAGCACGGGGGCCTGCGCCCAGTCGCCCGCGATCCCGTGGGCTGCCTCCACCGCTGCCACCACTGCGTACGCCCAGCAATCACCTGGAGGAGAGCATGAGGGGGGCACAATGGGATCGGACCCATATACTCTCATAGTCTATTACGAATAACGATTGCTGGCAGGTTGATCTCAAGATAGCTTGTAAGAAAATGCTGCTATGACATTCACAAACGGTTTGTGGTGGGATGGGAGACAACAAGGTACGCAACAAGGTTCACATGCTCCATGCTGCTCACTCCCACCCACAAACTTGGCAGGGACGCACAAAGAGTGTGCAAGCGTTGTGCGGGAGCATGGCATGGGGAGGGCATAGTGTGCAAAATGATAAGTGCGACCATTAATCTCACTCGATGTGTGGCTACATGTGGCTTCTTTGGCACATTCAATTCTCTCATTTCAAGAACCCCCTCATCACATATTTCAACTCCAAGCCATACCTTTGTTGGTACAATTCTATGGTTTGCACTCAGTTTGCTGTCTTTGTGCGTGCTTCTATGGAATGGTATAGGAGGATAATATATATTTCATGCTTATAATAGTGTGTGAATGATGAGTCATGATGTTGAATGTGTGTGTCGAGTCAATAGCGAATTTTCGCTAGTCGCATGTCATGTTGTCGTTTGCGTGTCGTGTGCGCTTTCTATTATGACGTGTGTCGATAGTTCGGCGTGTCGCAGGTGTGTGTAGCAAGCATTGAAAAACTCAAGAAAGAATTCATGCTCAAAACCAGGAGTCTTGGTTTCAAGAATCAAGTGATTTCAGAGTTTGCGAAACACAGAAAACACCAAGATAGTGAAAATAGTTACATTGTATTGTGTAGTGTAACGTAGTTCTTTGTGTAGAATTTTATGGTGGGTGATTTTCACACCTTTCGAGGTTGAGGACTATGTGGCACTATTCCAGCTCCCTAGAACTCGACTTTTGGGGTTTGTAGAGGCAGAGTCATTCCCTACTCGTAACCTTTCTTATGTCTTAACGCTATAGCTGCTGTTAGACCGCCGCTCGCTCAAACTACTCTCATGTTGTTTGTTCTTTATCAAATCGTGTAATTCAACTTGGTAATTGTAGACAGCGTTAAAACGCTCCAAATTCAATTAATAACACGCCATTTAGTGATGTGGTCAGTCCGCTATCAAGTTTTAAACTGCTCTGCAGAAATCCGTCTGTGCACTCTATCTTTCATTTTCGGCACATTTGAGCAGATTGTGATTATAACATGTGGTATCAGAGCCTCTTGAAGCAGTTTCGACAATGGCTAGACCTGAGGAAAGGGGTGGCAGAGGTGCTGGCGGCAGTGGAGAAGCCCAAGCTCAAGACCAACCCCATGATCCCCCCATGGCTTCCATAAGGGATGAGCAAAATGGCGAACACGGGTCCGGTTCGCCCGAACTTGTCCGGGGGCGAACCAAACTTTTTTTTTTTTTTTGTTAAATGCCCACATGTTCGCGGCGCACAAATGTAAAATGCCCGAACATCGAACATGTTTGGGCATGTATCGTGTTCTCCCGAACATCATTCCAGCGCGAAAGTGACGGGGAAAGTAGATCGTGCTGTTTCACAGCTCGATCTACTTTTCTAGGGTTAAGGCTAGCCAATCCGCCACCCATAGTACCTTCCTAAACTAGCGCCACCATCAACTGTTAGTTAGGCAAACATAAGGCCGTTTTTTAGGGTTGTACAAGCAGATATCGCCTTATGTTATACAACGTCACGGTTACCTTGGTGGAAACTTCTAGTTTCAGCATTGGTTTAGTTCAGTGGACCCCATTTCATGATTCTGAAACAGGTTTTCATGGTTTAAGGGTGAATCCAAGGGGTGGGAACGGTAAAGGAATGAGCATCCAATATCCCAACAAAAGCTCATATCCACTAAAACATAAGCAGATTCCCCCCCCTGCAGTGGGCGAACCCGAACATGTCAACTGTTCGCCCCCCTTTAAGATGTTCGCCCACAGTGGGCGAACATCAAGCATATCATTTCTGTAAAAGTGTTCGGGCAAACCGAACATGTTCGGTTCGCCCACTGAATGTGTTCCTGACTGTTCGGGCGAACATGTTCGATGTTTGCCCGGTGCTCATCTCTAGCTTCTATGCAACCAAGTTTTGGTCGTTTTAAGGATGAGCTTAGAGTGTTTGGCCTTGCCTGGACAACTTTGCTGAGTGGATTTTCAAGATGGAGAACATACTTGACCACTATGATCTGCTGCAGCTAATGGAAGGAACGGAGAAGCGTCTCGAGGACCCGGAAAAAAGCCTGTGGGTGCGGAAGCTTCTTCGACGCATTCAGTTCTCTCATTTCAAGAACCCCCTCATCACAAATTTCAACTTTAAGCCATACCTTGTGCCTATCCTACCATTCACACCTTTTGCAGACATACGACTCACCGCAGCCCCGTTGGTTCTTGACAGGCCAGACAAATTCATGCCAGACCCAGGTGCTGTAGGACTTGAAAGCCCACGCGGGGCTATTGTCCTGCGTGGGGTTGAAGCCCGCACTGGCGTAGTGGAAGAAGGAGTTGAAGTCCTGCGATGAGAAAAAATCCACCAACCCCAACGCCAAGTCTGGTGCACGGAGGAAGGAGGAGTGGGAGTTGCGAGGGTTTGGAGTTGAGAGGAGCCGTGTTAAGAGTCAAGGGGAGAAAGAATCTATAGGAATAGACTCACACACGGTGAGAAAGAAAAGCCAAGCATACTCACTTGAAGGGTCAAATCGTGGGTTGAGCAGAACATCTGCACCCACAGTAGCAAACCGCATGGACGGAGTGGGTTAGTGGCAAGCAGTAACAGAAGGCATTGATATGGAGGCATAATCCAATTGGATACAAGCGACAAGAGGAGCGGGACAAGTCTCAACGGTAGTGAAACCGAAACGTGTATATCCCATAAAAATCAGCCTGAGAGGCACACACCTGAGAGGCACATACCTGAGAGGCACATACCTAAGAGGCACACACATACATACATGAGAGGGGCATACATACCTGAGATGTGCATACCTGCAGTGAAGGTCCAGTTGAGGATCAAGTGTGCTTGTGGGCCAGCGGTGGACGCCGCTTTGAAGCCGATATAGAATGAAGCACTGGACGCCTTGGGATGCAGGATGGAGCAGAGGGAAAATCGAGCTCGGAGGGTGGGGGTGGGGGGCTGCTGGGGGTCGGAGGAGAGGAAGACTCGGAAGGTGCCACCGCTGGTGGGGTCGTAGTGGATCCAGGCGTGCTTGGTGTGGGCGTCGTTGAGGATGAGAGGGGCCGTGGCAGAGGCGAGGGACACAGGTGAGCCGCCCACATTGACACCAACGTTGTTGTCGTTGGGGTGGCTGTGCTTTACACTCAGTACCGAGTCAAACTCTACTGCCACACTCCGCTTCCCCACCCTTCCCAGCCGGTCTGGCATCGCCGCAGCAACGACAAACATGAGCCCATCCCCGCCCGCCTCTGAGTCCGGGTCGAGCGAGAAGGCAAGGGATGCATTGAAGGCGAGCTGGTAACCGCATGTGGCCTTGGTGTTGAAGTAGGAGAAGAGGGGGAGAGGCGCCGCTGTGAAAGCCGTGCCCCATTTGACGTTGGCCTTGGGGGTGAGCAGCAGCGCGCCGCCAGCAGAGGTCAGCGCCGAGCCACTCAGCATCATGGGGGTGGAAGCAGAGGAGGCCTGCACAGGGTCAACTGGAGGGGTGAAAGAGAACAGGATGGGAACTGGGAGAGATGAGGCAGGAAGATGGCTTGGTGCAGGAATGATGACACAGTGCTAATGATGCTCAAGTGGAAGACACAAAACGCCAAGCGGTGCTTAGCATTTGCTCATGCATTAATCTGCTTACTCGTGTAAGTGCATGTGTGCGGGTCGTTGCGAGTGGAGTAGTGCTCCTCACACACACACTCAGCCACACTGCTGCTGCTATCATTCATAAAGCAGTACCCATGCCCGCCGCACAGCGCCCCGCCCTGCCCCACCCCACAGAACGCGGTGCAGCTCTCCTTGCTTCGCTGCTCCTGGTTGAGCCCACAGAGGGTGGTGGTGGTGGGCAGGCAGTTGTCGAAGAGCCAGAGGCGCACAGCGGAGCAGTTCTTGGGGCGGGTGGGAGCGGAGGAGAAGTAGTTGCTCTGCACGTCCACCGTGGCCAGGCTCTTGGAGGCTGGCATGGGCACGGCCCCCGTGAACTGGTTGCCTGACACGATCCTGCAGGCAGCGATGGCGATGGGGATGGGGAGGGAGATGGGTATGGGGATGGGGATGGGGATGGGGATGGGGATGGGGATGAGGATCGGGATGGGGATGGGGATGGGGATGGAGTTGAAATAGGGATGGGGATGGGGATGGGGATGGGGATGGGGATGGGGATGGGGATGGGGATGGGGATGGGGATGGGGATGGGGATGGGGATGGGGATGGGGATGGGGACGGGGATGGAGATTGCTGACGGGAGTGGGTTGTTGGCCCCGCCCTCGCTTGGGCGACGCTGACTTCTTTGGTTAGGCGCGCGGGTGGTGCGGCCGACTATTGTGCAGGGTTCGGCACGTGCTGGTCGACGGAGTTGTCGACCTCCAAACGACCGCAGCAATGCCGCCATCGACGGGAGCCGGCGGTCGAGTTCGACAGGTTGTCGAGGCAGTTCGTCGGTCTGCGCAGGTCTGTTGAGGAGCTGCCGAAGATGGAGCTCTACGGCTGCAGTCGACTGTGTCGGTCAGTGAAGGGGTCCGTCGACCAGGGCGGTCCTCGACGGGAGCTGTGGTCGATGAGGGAGGTCGTCGACCAGGGCTCTGGGTGGTCGACCCAGTCGACCAAGTTACCTCGGCGAGGTTCTGTGAAGGAATGCGAACGGCGCCGAGGCCGCGATGGTGAAAGCGACTTCGGGCTGGTATCCCGAAGTCGATGTGGCTTGTCAAGCGCAGATAATAGCTGACAGATGCGTGACGGTTGCAACGCTGGACGCCGCCTTGCTGCAGCGTTGGCACGCGGTCGACCAGCTCAGTTGGCAGGCCGCCTTTCTGCAGCGCTGGCGCGGCTCCTGTACGCAACGCTGGCAGGCGATCGACTATGCTGT